AAACATGGAATCCAGATTCTCTTTGAAGTGCATCCATGATGATAAACTTGCACTAACCTACAATTCATTCTTGGCTTTGTATCCTCATAGTCCATTCCTGCATGTATTCCCCCCAGCCTTTATTGATTGATTTATTTTTGAGATGGAGTTTAGCTCTGTTGCCCAGGCTGGAGTGCAGTGGCACGATCTCGGCACAGGCTCAGGGGGCTGCCATAGTGTCAGAGAAGGCCTGGAGCAGGAAGTGCAAAGACACACAGCAGAGATGCAGCTCTGTGTCCCCTGCAGTTAAAGGTGGGCTGAGGGCATCAGTCAAGACACCACCTCCTGCACCCCTCAGATCTACTCAGCGACCACATTGAGTCTGCTCTGTCACGATTCTTCAAAGCAAAGGCTAGTTACAACTCCTATGAAAGCCTTAATACAAAAGGTTTAGCAGAACAAATACAATCCCCACTGCTACAGCTTCTCCCAAGTAACATATTCAGCAGCCACCTCCTCCTTGGCCTCACCCTCACCAGCTTTCCAGCTTGTCTCCATGGCTTGCCTGGTGACACTGCCCAGACCTTCACCCTGAGGGGTCTGAGCCCTTAGAGGCTATGGCTGCTGAAAAGACCTTTTCAGCCAGGCGCGGTGGCTCACTCCTGTAATCTCAGCACTTTGGGAGGCCGAGGTGGGCAGATCACAAAGTCAGGAGATCGAGACCATCCTGGCTAACATGGTGAAACCCCGTCTCTACTAAAAATACAAAAAATTAGTTGGGCGTGGCAACGTGCGCCTGTAGTCCCAGCTGCTCAGGAGGCTGAGGCAGAAGAATGGCGTGAACCCGGGAGGCGGAGCTTCCAGTGAGCTAAGATGGCGCCACTGCACTCCAGCCTCAGCGACAGGGCGAGACTCCGTGTCAAAAAAAAAAAAAAAAAAGAGAAAAAAAAGACCTTTCATTGTCATTACTTGGCATGGAAGCACCAAGACAGACCTAGATGAATCTTCCAAGTGCCAGACCAATCCCTGCTTGCCCCATTACACAGCAGTCACGCTCTATCCTGTTTATCAGGATCAAGTATCCCCTCCTTTGTGGCCTGCTGGTCCACCAGTATGAGGAGCTGAGAGTAACCTGGTGGTCTTTGCAGATTCAGGCTTGTGGAGGTATCCTTCCTGCAACCAGCAGGAGTGCCCTTGTGGAAGTTCCTACCTGGGAAACAGGCCCTAATCCGGCAGATCCTGAGGCTGTGGAGACAGAATGTACAAATTCTAAGTGTGAGTCCCTGGGAATGATGGTGAGAAGCAGCAAATCCCAACCTTTGGGTTCCTGGACCTGCGTCTTTGTTCTTGGATCCACAGAATGTATCTACTGGGGGCAGAGCACCATGTGTTAGGCTTTGATTCAGTGTGTAGATCCCAACTCCTCAGGATACTGTCCTAGAACCAGGACCTCAGCTAAGGCCTTAAGAAGTCATCCCATCTTTCCAGTAGCCTAGCGGCTTTTGCGTAATGCAGGATATTAGAGAAGCAGTGGATCCCATGGCAATCCACACACTACCATACCTCTTTCACTATAAAATGGCTTTCTTGGCCTGAGGCAATGTGATCCATGATCCCACGTTGGTACATGGAGTACGCTTGAAGTGCCTGGATAGTGATGCTGGCCTGGGACCCTGTGGATACAAACCCTTATCCAGAGTGGGTGTCAACTCCAGCAACGATGAAGGGCTGTAACCAACTTGCCACTAAGTAATTAGTTGGGGTGCTCTAGGGATGGTGTGTCAGCAGGGGCTCAGCACTGATCACTTTCAGCAACAGTCATCATGAGACAAGCCTTGATTAAAGGCCTGTGTTGGGTGACACTAACCTGTGCTCCTTCTGCATGATGCCTCCACTGACAGTCCACTGTGCAAGCAGAGGGTAGCCAGGGGCACAGCTGACTGACATCCATCTATCCTGCTGTTCAGCGACTCCTCTGCAGTATTAACATGAGGCAGAAAGATGCACATATTGTCTGGCTACTCCTGTAGGTCCATCTTCCCCTCTTGCCCTTTTCAGGCCCCTGACAAGCCAGCAGGACGTCACAACCCAGAAGCTCATATGCGTCCCTCCCTCAGGCCACTACTCTGTCTGCTCCTCCCTACAAAGTGGATATCCACATGAACTGCTGGAAGCTCAGCCCCATGGAGGATTTCCTATTATTGTCCTTTAGGGTCACCCTGAATGGGACTGTAGTGTACTTGTGGTTCATTTTCAGTTCACATCAACACATCAAACTGACCCATACACGAACCAGACCAGAATGTTTGTTTGTTTTGTCTAAAAGAGAAGTATCAGTGCAAAGCAGATGTGGGGCCACACCGCCACCTCTTCCTGTAAATGACTGTTACCTACTAGATAGGCTTGGGTCCAAGCCCAAGGCTACCTTTTTCATTGCAAAATCAATTGCTACTGAGCCTCTGACCTACTGACTTGGAGGATCTGACAATATCTCGCTTGGGCAGACTCTGTTGCAAGGTCACTGATGCCCTACCAGAAGGTGCTCAGTCTCTTCTTGGATCTGGTAGTGTGCCTGATACTGCTTTCACTTGGTGAGTAGTTCTCTGCTGCAGAAGGCATGGTCTTGTCCAAGAACTCTAGGACACTGCACTGCAACTCTTCCGTTGGAGTTTGCTAGAGATGCCATATGGGGTCCTTCCGACTCCAAATAAGCCCCCCGTAACCCACTGGATCTACGCAGCAGGGAAGCCCATCTCCCAATCCAAATCTTTAGCAGAGCCCTCTTTTTCTCTGAGTCCTACTCAAAGCTGGAAGTTTCCCCGTTACCCAATACAGGGGTCAGAGAGGTATCCCCTAGTGCAGTGCATGCTGACTCCAAAACACAGAGGTGCATCAATGCTGTGCCTCTTTCTTCCTTACAAGGATGCAGGATGCAGTAACTTGTCCCTGGCTCACCCTCAAATGCTGCACCCCTGAAAATGTCACTGATATGGCAGGTTCCAGAACTTCTGAGGGCTTCTCACTCATCCTCTGACATGCATTGCCTTAACAAGGCCAGAGCACTTCCTTCTCCACCGTGTCCAACTAGTATGATGTCATCGATGTTATATGGAATATCGATAAGCTACCTAAGGTCCAACTGGTATGATGTCATCAGTGTTATATGGAATATAGATGATAAGCGGCCTAAGGTCCAACTGGTATGATGTCATCAGTGTTACATGGAATATAGATGATAAGTGGCCTAAGGTCCAACTGGTATGATGTCATCAGTGTTACATGGAATATAGATAAGCGGCCTAAGGTCCAACTGGTATGATGTCATCAGTGTTACATGGAATATAGATGATAAGCGGCCTAAGGTCCAATTGGTATGACATCATCAGTGTTACATGGAATATAGATAAGCTACCCAAGGACTATTGTGACAAGAGAATAGGAGAGTTCAAACAGCACGAAGCAAGACAATTTATAGAGCTGTCCTTCCCATATAAGTGCGAACTGCTTTCAATCCTCTTTACCACTGGGAATTGAAAAGAATGTTCACCAAGTCAATAATTGCGTTATCGAGTGCCGGAGGTGCATTCACCAGTTGCAGGAAAGATACCACACTTAGCACAGCTGTGTGATCGGGGACACGACTTGGCTAAGTTTGTGCCGGATAACATCATTTATTTTAATCCACCAAGACTTAGCAGGAGCCATTCAGGTTAATTGAAAGGATGAAATGGTGACACCGCTTTATAAGTCTTTGAGGGCAAAATACCTCTGCAATTATACCTGGAATGCAGGATTGTTTCTGACTTACAATCCTGGAAAGGTTTCAGTAGGTGAGGAGTTTCAAAGGCTTCTACTTTGCTCTTCCTTACCATATGGTACCAAAGGCCTGGGATTAATGTACAAGCTCGGCCCTCTGCTAGGTACAAACATCCCAAGTATGCATTGAGACCAGAGAAGTAACCACAGGACTTGGGTTGGGATTCTGATTATCATCTGATTTCCATACGCCTGTACCCTAATGAGAGGGCCATGATGCTTCAGGGGTCCTGGTAACAACGTCAGCTCAGATCCTGTATCTAACAGCCCTTGAAAGATCTAGATAGTCCTTTTTCCAAAGTAAACTAGTTTTTTTGGTGTGTTTTTGTTGTTGGTCAGACAGGGTCTTGCTGTGTTGCTCAGGCTGGAGTGCAGTGGCGTGAACACAGGTCACTGCAGCCTTGACCTCCTGGGCTTAAGTGATTCTCTCACCTCACCATCCAGAGTAGCTGGAACCACAGGCACCTGCCACTAGGCCCAGCTAATCTTTTAATTTTTTGTAAAGACAGGTTCTTGCTATGTTGCCCAGGCTGGTCTCAAACTCCTGAGCTCAAACGATCCTCCTACCTCAGCTTCCCAAAGTGCAGGGATTACAAGTGTGATCCACTGCCCCCAGCCAGAATCAGTTACTTTTTTTTTTTTTTTGATTCGGAGTCTCGCTCTGTTGCCCAGGCTGGAGTGCAGTGGCGCGATCTCGGCTCACTGCAAGCTCTGCCTCCCGGGTTCACGCCATTCTCCTGAGTAGCTGGGACTACAGGCGCCCGACACCACGCCCGGCTAATTTTTTGTATTTTTAGTAGAAACGGGGTTTCCCCGTGGTCTCGATCTCCTGACTTTGTGATCCACCCGCCTCAGCCTCCCAAAGTGCTGGGATTACAAGCGTGAGCCACCGCGCCAGGCCCACTTTTTTTTTTTTTTTCAGACAGAGTCTCGTTTTGTCGCTCAGGCTGGAGTGCAGTGGCTCGCTGCAACAAGGCCTGGGTTCAACAGATTCTCCTGCCTCAGCCTCCCGAACAGCTGGAATTACAGGCACACACCACCACGCCCGAATAATTTTTGTATTTTTAGTAGAGACGGGGTTTCGCTATGTTGGCTAGGCTGGTCTCAAACTCCTGACCTCAAGTGATCCGCCCTCCTCAGCCTCCCAAAATGCTGGGAGTACAGGCGTGAGGCACCGCGCCCGGCCCAGTTACTTTTTAAAGTGGCTCTAGGTCCCTTTAGGGAAGGATTGCGGGAGTATTTTTTGGTATATGCTCAGATGCTGGTATTGTAAGATCCTTCCTGAGAGGAACCAAGCCTCCTTGTCAGTCAATGGGCTCCAGGTCTCAAAACTGACGCAGATTTAAACAGAATGATCACGATTTTCCACTGCAGCAAGTGACATTAGCCTTGTGATCCCCAATTTTTGATTTCTTTCTGGTTATCAAATCAAACAACACTCTAGTCAGATGCCCCAAAGAACACCATAGTTCGACAGACATTGCCAGGGATCCCTGTGGGTCCAGCGCTGCTGGCCGCCGCACCAGCCTGGGGCAGAAGCAGAAATGCAGGAGGCACGTGTTTAAATCGGGGCGCCCTCAATGTGAGGTGCGCAGGCCGAGAAGGGGGCTGCGGCAAGCTGCCAGTCTTCACCTTCCGCTCTTGGGTTTGACTCTGTAATTAGCTCTAGGCCTGGAGGAGACGAAGAGGATGGGGGAGAGGGGAATGAATGAAGACGCGCATCTCAAGCAGGGCAGCAAAAGCCTCCTCAGAGGCGCGGTTCTACAGGACAGGGGAGTCCCCGTGTGACTGGGGATTTATGCACCTGGAGTCATCGAACTGTCCCAAGGGCCATATTCCTTCAGCAAATGTTTACTGCGTACCCACCGGGTGCCCGCATCCCGCACTCTGCCCGCGGTGTGCGGCCCTGCCCAGCGCGCGCGCCTCCTCCAGGCCTCACCCACGCTCAGGACGGACGCGCGCTGGGCGGCTCTTCCTCGTCGGAGCGCCCCAGAGGTCGGGGAAGAGGGCCCGGCAAGGAAGCCCTCGCACCGGAGCTGCAGCTGCAGCCGCCGCCCCGCCGCCCCTCCGGCCCCCACGGGACAGAGGCGCGGCTCCTTCTCGCCGGTCTTCCAGGACGCTACCTCGCCCAGCCGGTTTCTCGCCCGCGCACGCGCCGCTCCGCCACCTGATTGGCCCCCGGCGCCCCGGATTGGCCCAGGTCGTCCAACAGCCGCCCCGCCCAGAGAGAGGCCATTGGTCCTTGCCCATAAGGGCGGGGCACGGCGGAGATAAGCGGAATTCGGCCTCCGGAAAGAGCCCCCGGGCCGGGGCACGGAGAGAGCCGAGCGCCGCAGCCGTGAGCCGAATAGAGACGGAGAGACCCGAGTATGACCGGAGACGCCCAGGCCGGCCGGAAGAGGAGCCGAGCGCGGCCGGAAGGAACCGAGCCCGTCCGAAGGGAGCGGAGCGCAGCTGGGCGTGGGGCCCGGTGGATCCCGCGCCATGGCGGCCGAGGGGACAGCTGTGGCCGGAGGCGGGGCTGTTGGCGGCTGCCTGGCCAAAGACGGCTTGCAGCAGTCTAAGTGCCCGGACACTACCCCAAAACGGCGGCGCGCCTCTTCGCTGTCGCGTGACGCCGAGCGCCGAGCCTACCAGTGGTGCCGGGAGTACTTGGGCGGGGCCTGGCGCCGAGTGCAGCCCGAGGAGCTGAGGGTTTACCCCGTGAGGTGGGAGGTCAGGGGTCAGCCTCTCCGGTGCGCGGATCGGGGTCAGGGGTCAGCCGCGGGGTCCTCAGGATGCTCCATGTTTTCGCCCCTTCTTGCGCCCGAGCCTGGGGCGGGGCCGGGGCCGGCCTGGCCGGGAGGGGGCCGGGGCCGCGGCAGGTGGGGCCGCCCGCGGGCTGAGCGCGCCTGGTGTGGGTCTGCAGCGGAGGCCTCAGCAACCTGCTCTTCCGCTGCTCGCTCCCGGACCACCTGCCCAGCGTTGGCGAGGAGCCCCGGGAGGTGCTGCTGCGGCTGTACGGAGCCATCCTGCAGGTGAGGGGGGTGTGAGCGCCGCAGCGCCAGTGGCTTTAGGGCCTGCCGCTTACGGGATGCGGGGAGTAGTGTCCCCATTGCGCAGTTAAGGACAGCGAGGCTCACAGTCTGAGTAACACCTTCTCACACTGAAGCCTGGGCCTGTATTCCCAGCGCTTTGGGAGGCTGAGGCGAGAGGATCACTTGAGCACAGGAGTTCGAGACCAGCCTGAACAACATAGTGAGACCCCATCTCTAAATAAAAACAGACCAACGCGAAAGCTTGTGCTCCAGAGCCTCCAGGCAATTGGACCAGAAGTCCCAGCTCTGGTGGGAGGAAAGCAAGCCCTCATGTCTGTCCCTGTGCCACTTTGCCTTGGCCCTTTTGCTATCCATCCTTTTTCAGGGCGTGGACTCCCTGGTGCTGGAAAGCGTGATGTTCGCTATCCTTGCGGAGCGGTCGCTGGGGCCCCAGCTGTATGGCGTCTTCCCAGAGGGCCGGCTGGAACAGTACATCCCAGTACGAGCCCAGTCCTACCTTCTCCTCCCCAAGGCACCTCCACTCCCTAACCCTACCCCAGTGCCCAATGTCTGCCTTCACATCCCTCACCCCAAGTAGGGAATTTCCCCCCAAACCCTGACCTCCCCCCATTGCCCCAATCCTTCCCCCTCCTGCCCCAGCCCCATCACCACCCTGATAGCTTCCTGGGTGCAGAGCCGGCCATTGAAAACTCAAGAGCTTCGAGAGCCAGTGTTGTCAGCAGCCATTGCCACGAAGATGGCGCAATTCCATGGCATGGAGATGCCTTTCACCAAGGAGCCCCACTGGTTGTTTGGGACCATGGAGCGGTGAGTCAGGAGCCTCCTCAGGGCTCCTGTACACCTGAGCTGAACCTCTTTGCCAGCAGATGTGTCCGGGGCTCTATCCAGCCCTCCACTTGGCAGGATTTGATATCATGGGCTCTCACAGAACAGGCTTTGAAATGTTTGCCAGAGGCCACAAGCAGTGCCTCATGCCTGTAATCCCAGAACTTTGGGAGCCGACGTGGGTGAGTCACTTGAGGTCAAGAGTTCCAAGACTGCCCTAGCCAACACGGCAAAATGCCATCTCTACTAAAAATACAAAAATTAGCCCGGCGTGGTGGCAGGCACCTGTAATCCCAGCTACTCAGGAGGCTGAGGTGGGAGGATCCCTTGAGCCCAGGAGGCAGAGGTTGCAGTGAGCTGAGATCGTGCTATTGCACTTCGGCCTAGGTGACAGAGCAAGACTCTTGTCTCAAAAAACCAAACAAAAAAAGAAAAGAAATGATTGCCAAGGCCAGGTACGGTGGCTCATGCCTGTAATCCTAGCACTTTGGGAGGCTGAGGCGAGCATATTGCCTGAGCTCAGGAGTTCGAGACCAACCGGTGAAACCCTGTCTCCATTAAAATACAAAAAATTAACCAGACATGTCTGCGTGTACCTGTAGTCCCAGCTATTCGGGAGGCTGAGGCAGGAGAATTGCTTGAACCAGGGAGGCAGAGGTTGTAGTGAGCCGAGATCGTGCCACTGCACTCCAGCCTGGGTGACAGAGTAAGACTATCTCAAAAGAAAGAAGAAATGATTGCCAGACAAGTCACACAGTGATAAGAGCAGGGGTGCAGTAGTCTGGCCTGAGGGGTAGATAGGAGAGGGATGGGAAAGAATATCAGAGCCAGTGTATCCTATTCTTTGGGCTTCAGGTACCTAAAACAGATCCAGGACCTGCCCCCAACTGGCCTCCCTGAGATGAACCTGCTGGAGATGTACAGCCTGAAGGATGAGATGGGCAACCTCAGGTGAGGGCAGGCAGGACAAGGCTAATGGTAATGGTGTCCACCCTTCCAGTATTTGCTGAGGGCTGGTGTCAGGGCCTGGCCTGTTAGTGTGGCTCTGATCCTTCTCTAGTCACTCCTGCTCAGGACTCATGCTCCCATACCCCTGCAGGAAGTTACTAGAGTCTACCCCATCGCCAGTCGTCTTCTGCCACAATGACATCCAGGAAGGTAGGAGAAGACATCTGAGTCTCCCAACCCAAGATGGAGGAGCCAGAGGGCTCTGGAGTGAGCAGAACCTCACCCCATTCCCCCAGGGAACATCTTGCTGCTCTCAGAGCCAGAAAATGCTGACAGCCTCATGCTGGTGGACTTCGAGTACAGCAGTTATAACTATAGGTGAGACTGGAAAGATGGCTTCCCATAGATCTGTTCCCACAGGGCACTTGAAAACAGGCCAGCTGCCCAGGGCATTTGGGGACTGAATGTCCACCTTATTCTCCCAGGGGCTTTGACATTGGGAACCATTTTTGTGAGTGGGTTTATGATTATACTCACGAGGAATGGCCTTTCTACAAAGCAAGGCCCACAGACTACCCCACTCAAGGACAGCAGGTATGTGGGCCAGAGGCTGGGGAGCAGGACCCATCCTGTGAGGAAGGAGGGAGGTGGAGTCTGGAAGGAATGGCTGGAAGGGATGTTACCTGGGAAATACTCCACAGTCTCCCCAGTTCCTGACTCTTGGCCGTTGATCGTAGCTGCATTTTATTCGCCATTACCTGGCAGAGGCGAAGAAAGGTGAGACCCTCTCCCAAGAGGAGCAGAGAAAACTGGAAGAAGATTTGCTGGTAGAAGTCAGTCGGTGAGGAAGGAGGGGCGGGGCGGGGTAGGGCAGAGCAGAGGAAAGGGGGATTGGGGAAGAGGCAGATTAATCAAGCTGCAGGGAAGGTGGTTGTGCAGAGTGGGGTTAGGACAGTGGGGGAGAAGTTAAAACTGTAGGGATTGGCCAGCCTGGGTGAGGGCATTCAAGCAGATCCAGATGTGCTTTTGAATACCCCTACTTTTCCTGCCCTCCCCCCAGGTATGCTCTGGCATCCCATTTCTTCTGGGGTCTGTGGTCCATCCTCCAGGCATCCATGTCCACCATAGAATTTGGTTACTTGGTAAGTGACCCTGGGACTGGGAATGCTGCTAGCAGCCACACTCTTCCAGGAGGCCTGGGGAGTCCTGGGTGGCTGTGGGCAGCCTGAGGTGGGTGCAGAGTGCTGGTCCCACGTCTTCTCACCACTGTGTGGGGTGGGTTTCCTTCCCTAGGACTATGCCCAGTCTCGGTTCCAGTTCTACTTCCAGCAGAAGGGGCAGCTGACCAGTGTCCACTCCTCACCCTGACTCTCCACCCTCCCACTCCTTGGATTTCTCCTGGAGCCTCCAGGGCGGGACTTTGGAGGGAGGAGCAACGAGCAGAAGGCCCTGGGGACTGGGCTGAGCCCCCAAGTGAAACTGAGGTTCAGGAGACCGGCCTCTCCCTGAGTTTGAGGAGGTCTCCATGGCTGGCAGGCCAGAGCCCTGTGCTGTGTATGTAACACAATAAACAAACTTCTTCCTTCACACCCTGTCCTGGCCCTGCTGAGCAGCAGCAGCAGGAACACCAAACCAAGCAGTACACACAAAGGGACTCTTCAGTGCTGTGGGCTTGAAAGTGGTGAGGGCTCATGCTGCCAATGGGGGTCCCCCATCCCTCCCCACTCCCCTGGCTCCAGCCTAGAATAGTAAATACTAGGACTTGGGGAGGAGAAGGAGAGTGATGGGGGTATGAAGACGACCCTGAGGTGGGGATGCTGCCCGGGGCACCAGCGATCCCAGAACAGGCACAGCTGACACATCGGTGACCTTTTCCCTACATTTGGCTATTTTTAGCTCTAATGCCACCATCCTCACGAGACTCTCTGGGGCCCCCCCAGGCTCCCAGACCTTTGAGCAACCTTCACGGCGCAGAAACCCAGCCCCGCCCTGCAATTCCCACCGCGGAAGGCGGGTGGTCTGGTTCCCGCCCCACGTTTTTCCGGACCCCATTTGGGAGTAGGTGTCAGGTTCCTGGTGAGGGCGGGGCGGGGGTGGCTAGGCCTGAAGGACGTGGGGACACGGGCCAGAGTGGCTGGCCCCACGCGCGGACAGGAGCGAACCTGAGCTGTGAGTAGGGGCCGGCGCAGGGCGGCCCGCGGGGGTCTGGGCCCCCAGCCCTGCACAGGGGCGAGGATGGCGCTGGGGCCCGCGCGGTCGGGCGGGGAAGGGCGGGTGCCTGAACCCTGCCTCTGTCCAGGCCACTCCGCTTCCAGGGGCGCTTCTCTTCCCTGCCCGCGCCCTCGCTGACGCCCCCCACTCCAGGCTGCACTTCACCGTCCTTGGGGCTCCTGCAGCTTTCAAGGCCCAAACCCCCTGCGCCACAGTGGCTGTGCCCACCCGGAAGGCTGGCGCGAGGATTTGGCGGCGGTTGGCCTGGCGGGGGGCGCGGGCCGGGGGCGGCCGCTAGTCGCGGGGTAGGGGGTGCGAGGGGTCGCGGACTGGCTGGGGGCGTCTCGGCGCAGCTGGCGCGCGGCCTGCCTAAGCGCGCCCGCGCACCCACCTGCCCCCGTCCTAGGTGCCGACCAACCCCCAGGATGGCGGAAGCGCACCAGGCCGTGGCCTTCCAGTTCACGGTGACCCCAGAGGGGGTCGACTTCCGGCTCAGTCGGGAGGCCCTGAAACACGTCTACCTGTCTGGGATCAACTCCTGGAAGAAACGCCTGATCCGCATCAAGGTGCGCACAGGTGCTTCTCCCAGCAGGTGCAGAACGGAGCTCTCACAGCGGGGGCAGAGGCCGGCTGTCGGCTGTTAACCGCTTTGTTAGGGTCCCTCACTGCCTCCTTGGCTGGCAGTTCCGCTCGGTACAGGTTCTGGAAGTGCAGACGCCAGAGGGGTGCACAGGATGTGGTCCGACACAGGGAGCTGTGGGTGTGGAGGAGGAAGGAGCACAGCAGGGCATCAGGAGAGAACGCCGTCCAGGACAAGACCAGGAGCGGGTTTCCAAGACTTCACAGGCAGGCTAACCTCACGCCCTCCGGCTCCATAAGGGCGCCTGTTTCTGCCCGCAGAATGGCATCCTAAGGGGTGTGTACCCTGGCAGCCCCACCAGCTGGCTGGTCGTCGTCATGGCAACAGTGGGTTCCTCCTTCTGCAACGTGGACGTCTCCTTGGGGCTGGTCGGTTGCATCCAGAGATGCCTCCCTCAGGGGTAAGGAGTGAAACTGGAAGGGCACAGGTGTCACCAGGGAGGGCTGGGCCCAGCTCCCAAGCCTGAGGTTCTGAGCTGGGCAGATACAGGACAATAGCCATTGGCAGTCACAGGGCAGCCCTCCCATATGACAACCATTGTCTTAGTCCTATATCAACTCTTATTTGTTGCAGTCAGACATGAGTGTGCCCAGGGAGGTTCTTCCTCTTGATGTCTCCCCTGAGACAGTTCACAGCCACCCGAGGCTGGCCTCAGGAGGACGCCCTGCAGCCTTTGCCCCCTCTCCAATAGGTGTGGCCCCTACCAGACCCCGCAGACCCGGGCACTTCTCAGCATGGCCATCTTCTCCACGGGCGTCTGGGTGACGGGCATCTTCTTCTTCCGCCAAACCCTGAAGCTGCTTCTCTCCTACCATGGGTGGATGTTTGAGATGCATGGCAAGACCAGCAACTTGACCAGGATCTGGGCTGTGAGCAGCAGTCAGTGGAGGGGTTCAGGCACCTGGGTTGAGACGCTTTGGGCTCCTTTAGGGTTCTGAGCTAGAAGGGAGAGGCAGACAGGGCACTGGTGCCTGTTGTGTGGTTTGTCCTGGAGGGGCTGGGATGGTTCTGAGGGTCTCAGGGAGTTGCTGGTTGGTTTCCATTCTTGCCACTAGCTCCCACCCCAGCACTCTGCTCTGTACCCCCAGATGTGTGTCCGCCTTCTATCCAGCCGGCACCCCATGCTCTACAGCTTCCAGACATCTCTGCCCAAGCTTCCTGTGCCCAGGGTGTCAGCCACAATTCAGCGGGTGAGGGCCTCGCTTGGGCATCCCAGTGGGCAGGGGAGGCTGGATTCAGGAGATGTTTCCAAATATAAGGTTCTGTGCAAAGAGTGGTCTTAAGGGCTTGAGAATAATGGGGCTGGGTGAGGAGGAAGAGGTGGGAAGAGGATTAAGATAGAGGCAGCCCTCGCCATCTGACCCCACGGTGATGATAACTGGCTGGACAGTACCTAGAGTCTGTGCGCCCCTTGTTGGATGATGAGGAATATTACCGCATGGAGATGCTGGCCAAAGAATTCCAGAACAAGACTGCCCCCAGGCTGCAGAAATACCTGGTGCTCAAGTCATGGTGGGCGAGTAACTATGTAAGTTTGTGCCCCCGGCTCATTGTTACCTGCCATGTGTCCTGGCTGCCCCTGCCCCAGCTCTAACCTTCCACCTGCCCACAGGTGAGTGACTGGTGGGAAGAGTACATCTACCTTCGAGGCAGGAGCCCTCTCATGGTGAACAGCAACTACTATGTCATGGTATGAACTGGAGCCCCCAGGCCCCCGCGCGTCCTCACTCTGTCCCAGCTCCAAGGCAGAGGACCTGGAGGATAGCCCGGAGCTCTGGTAGCAGCTTCCGTGGGCAAGTGGGGGTTATGGAGTGAGGCCTGAGGGAAAGGGCAGAGGGAGAGGAGATCCTAGAAGAGTCCAGAAGCAGCTTTGGGGCAGTGGAGATCCTGAGGATGAGGAGAGTGGTGACCCCCAGCCTGCCACCGCCTCTCTCAGAGTCCCAGGGTCACTGCCCCTACCCAGCTCAGGCTCTGTCACCTCTTTCCTTGGTTTCCTCACTGGTCTCCTGGCCATGGGTTCCCAGCTGCCCTGACACCATAACCAGGGAGTTGTCTAGAACACGTCTTGCTTTGTGTCCCTCTGCAGAGCCGGACAGCAGAATGAAGGCCAGGCTGCTGCTTTTAGAGCTCAGGAGGTTACAGTCTGCCTCTGCCCCATGTAACTGGCCCTTCTGAGTCTCTGGGTCTCCCAGCCACCCGGGCTGTATGGCACGCCTCTTCTCTCCTTTTCCACTGTCCAAAGCACACTTGACTTGCCAGAGTCTATCAGAATTCTCCTCCATAAGCTGTCCTTCCAGGAACTTACACACAACTTGTCCATACCAGAGGTTTTAAACTGCTTTTTAGTGGTAGAACCCCTTTATCAAAGCAAAATAAGTAGAATACAAGCACATAAAATAGGTTATAAAAAGGCAGCTCAGGCTGGATGCAGTGGCTCACGCCTGTAATCCCAGCACCTTGGGAGGCCGAGGCGGGTGGATCACGAGGTCAGGAGATCGAGACCATCCTAACACGGTGAAACCCCGTCTCTACTAAAACTACAAAAAATTAGCTGGGCGATGTGGCGGGCGCCTGTAGTCCCAGCTACTCGGGAGGCTGAGGCAGGAGAATGGCGTGAACCCGGGGGGCGGAGCTTGCAGTGAGCCGAGATCGCGCCACTGTACTCCAGCCTGGGTGACAGAGTGAGACTCTGTCTCAAAAAAATAAATTAAAAAAATAAAAAATTAAATAAATAAATAAATAAATAAATAAATAAAAAGGCAGCTCCGAGTCGGGCATGGTGGTGCATGACTCTGATCCCTGCAACTCAGGAGGCTGAGGCAGGAGGATGACTTAGGGCCAGAAATTTGAGGCTGCAGTGAGCCATGCTTGCCCCACTGCACTCCAGCCTGGGTGACAGAGCAAGACCCTAACTCTAAAAAATAAAGAATTGAAAAAGCATCCCCGGCTGAAGCTGGAGCAGAGGGTCACTGTGACCAGCTGTGCATTTCTGGAGGCTCACCCTGACAGCATGTGCAGGATGGACCGGAGGAGGGAGACAGAACACCTCAGGTCCCCAAATAGATTGGTCCTTGGGTCAGCAAGACCCAGGTGACACCCAGACAGAGGCCCCCACCCCGCGGGCTCTGCTTTCTCTGTAGGACCTTGTGCTCATCAAGAATACAGACGTGCAGGCAGCCCGCCTGGGAAACACCATCCACGCCATGATCATGTATCGCCGTAAACTGGACCGTGAAGAAATCAAGCCTGTGAGTTGTGTCAGGGTTGAAGGTGGGATGGGAGAGGAGACCTGAGTCTGAGCCATGCTGGGCCTTCCCCCAGGTGATGGCACTAGGCATAGTGCCCATGTGCTCCTATCAGATGGAGAGGATGTTCAACACCACTCGGGTCCCGGGCAAGGAGACAGGTAACTGAGCCCTCCCTGCTCCCTGTGGGCCGTCTGGCTGGCTCGCTGCCCTCCTGCCTGCTCATCACCAAGCGTCCCCAGTGTCTCAGGGTCCTGAAACTGTGAACAGTAGTCAATTGTGACAGATACTAGACATCTGTTATTTACAGGCATGATGCTGGTTCAGGGACCCCACGGGGCCCAGAGCAGAGCCCCCGCGCCTCCGGGGCTCACTGTGCGTGGTGAAGGGAATCCTGCTGCAGCCGAAAGCTTAGGACAGGCCAGGTGCCACCATGGAGCCAGCAGAGGAGGGGAGAGGCGCACCCAGGGGTCTGGCAGAGGCAGCAGCCTTCCCTGCTTCTTTTTTTTTTTTTTTTTTGAGACGGAGTCTTGCTCTGTAGCCCGGGCTGGACTGCAGTTGCCGGATCTCAGCTCACTGCAAGCTCCGCCTCCCGGGTTTACGCCATTCTCCTGCCTCAGCCTCCCGAGTAGCTGGGACTACAGGCGCCCGCCACCTCGCCCGGCTAGTTTTTTTTTTGTATTTTTAGTAGAGACGGGGTTTCACCGTGTTAGCCAGGATGGTCTCGATCTCCTGACCTCGTGATCCGCCCGTCTCGGCCTCCCAAAGTGCTGGGATTACAGGCTTGAGCCACCGCGCCCGGCCCCCTTCCCTGCTTCTGACACTGTATCCTTAGGCGGTTTGCACAATATCCTAGTGTGTTTCTTCTTCTGTGAAATACTTCATAGGATTGTTGTTGGTGTTATATAGGAGGTAGCGGAAGCACCAGCACAGGGCCTGGTTTAGGACACTCGGATCCCATCCAGGGGGCAGGAAGGCCCAGGCAGAGGCTGAGCAAAGCAGGGTCTGCAGGGACACCCAGTGCATGGGAGGTGGGCCCTTCCCAGGATGTAGCCGGGGTCCTGCCTCAGCTTGCCCGTGGCCTCTATCACAGATGTGCTGCAGCACCTCTCAGACAGCCGGCACGTGGCTGTCTACCACAAGGGACGCTTCTTCAAGCTGTGGCTCTATGAGGGCTCCCGTCTGCTCAAGCCTCGGGATCTGGAGATGCAGTTCCAGAGGATCCTGGATGACCCCTCCCCACCTCAGCCTGGGGAGGAGAAGCTGGCAGCCCTCACTGCAGGAGGAAGGTATCAGCCTGTGGGGAGGGACTGTCCTCACCCTGAGGTTCAGGGCTCCATGAGAAGAGGAGCATGGCCCTGCCTGCCACCCTGGAACTGGAAGCTGGAGGCACAACTAGGGGAGGGGCATTGGTGTAATGGCAGCAGGACAGCCAGCAGAACCTCCCTCTGATGGGTGGCAGCTAGGTGAGAATGTGCAGAGGGTGGGACACCCTCCAAAACAGCCTGGCACCCCCCACCTCCAAGCACAGCCTGGCACACACACCCCCATATCCAGGCCCAGCCTGTCATGCCCCACCTCAGGTGATCCTGGCCACACACCCCCACCTCCAGGCCCAGCCTGCCCCTACCTCCAGGCCCAGTCTGGCACACACACACCCCACCTCCAGGCCCAGCCTGTATGCACACACCCGCCTCCCAGGCCCAGCCCTGGCATCACGTACCCCCACCTCAGGCCCAGCCTGTCACACACCCCACACCCCCAGGCCTGGCCACAACCCTCCTACCTCCAGGCCCAGCCCCATCACACCCCACCTCCAGGCCCAGCCTGAGAAGCCACCCCATCTCAGGTCCCGGCCCTGATGCCCCCACCTCCAGGCCCAGTCAGCACACACACCCCCACCTCCAGGCCCAGCCTGTCCACACCCCACCTCAGGCCCTGGCCTGGCACCCCCACCTCCCGGCCCAGTCTAGCACATACCCCCATCTCAGGTCTGGCCTGGTACCCCCACCTCAGGCCCAGCCTGTCACACACACCCTCACCTCCAGGCCCAGCCTGTCACACACACCCCCACCTCCAGGCCCAGCCTGTCCCACCATGGCACACACACCCCCACCTCCAGGCCCAGCCTGGCACACACACCCCTACCTCCAGGCCTAGCCTGGTACCCCCCCATCTCCAGGTCCAGCCTGGTACCCCCCAGTCTCCAGGTCCAGCCTGGCACCCCCCCATCTCCAGGTCCAGCCAGGCCCTCGGAGGCACCCTCATCCCGTCCATGTGCCCACTGCTTACCCTGCCTCGTGCGGCAGGGTGGAGTGGGCGCAGGCACGCCAGGCCTTCTTTAGCTCTGGAAAGAACAAGGCTGCCTTGGAGGCCATCGAGCGTGCCGCTTTCTTCGTGGCCCTGGATGAGGAGTCCTACCGCTATGACCCCGAAGACGAGGCCAGCCTCAGCCTCTATGGCAAGGCCCTGCTACATGGCAACTGCTACAACAGGTGCGGCTGCCCCCACCCCACAGGTCATAGCTTAGGGTTAAAGGTTAGGGTTATGGTTAGAGGATTAAAGATAACAGGTAGGTTGTGAGCTGGGTGCGGTGGCACACACCTGTGATCCTAGCACTTTGGGAGGCCGAGGTAGGTGGATCACTTGAGCACAGGAGCTCAAGACCAGCCTGGGCAATGTAGCAAGACCCCTTCTTAAAAGTAGGATTGTGATTAGTGGTTAGGTAGGGATAGTGGTTAGGGTTAAAGGTTAGGGTTTGGGTTAGAGAGTAGGGTTAGAAGCCGGGCGTGGTGGCAGGCACCTGTAATCCCAGCTAGTCGGGAGGCTGAGGCAGGAGAATCCCTTGAACCCGGGTGGTTACAGGGAGCCAAGATCACACCACTGCACTCCAGCCTGGGCAACAGAGCAAGACCCCATCTCAATTAAACAGAGAGAGAGAGAGGAGAGAGAATAGGGTTAGTGTTAGGGTTAGGGTTAGGGTAACATCCGAGTTAGGGTTAAAGGTTGGGGTTGCAGGTCAGGCTCCTCTGGACATTCCCAGCTTTGCTTCTTCATGTGTCTACTCTCCCCGCAGGTGGTTTGACAAATCCTTCACTCTTATTTCCTTCAAGAATGGCCAGCTGGGTCTCAATGCAGAGCATGCGTGGGCAGATGCTCCCATCATTGGGCACCTCTGGGAGGTAATAGCCTTGCAGAGGGAAGCTGCAGGGCAGGCTGGAGGGGATGAGGCCGGCCTCTCAGCCTCATCCTCTCCCTGCAGTTTGTCCTGGGCACAGACAGCTTCCACCTGGGCTACACGGAGACTGGGCACTGCCTGGGCAAACCGAACCCTGCGCTCCCACCTCCTACGCGGCTGCAGTGGGACATTCCAAAACAGGTGGGTTGGAAGCTCCCAGAGCAGGTGTGAGACCACAAAGCAGCAGGCGGGTACAACCCCAACAAGGCCTGAGTCCCCCTCCTCCTCCTCCCCTGCTGGCCCCACTGCCTGACCCAGCCCTCGGGAAGGCACAGAGCACATCTCAGGATACCTGTAGAGTCCAAACTGGCTTCAGGGAGGACAGAGACCACCCACTGCCTGTGGGGCCATCTGTGTTTAGAGAAGGCCATGAGATGAAGGAGGCACTCACAGGCCCCTGGAGCATTTTCAGCACTTCCCTCTTCCTTACAAAGCTCAGCCCAGCCTCTGGGGGCTGATTCTCCCTCAGATTGTCTTTTGCATACCCTCCTCCTGAAGATGTCTTGGCCAGCTGTACCCTTCCTCCACCAGCTAAATGTCATGCCTCCTAGACGTGACCCAGAGTCCCGCTTGGAGAGCCCTGCCCTCAGCTGACCCTTCCCATGTCTTGGCCGGCTGTGCCCTTCTTCCACCAGCTAAACTTCATGCCTCCTGGATGTGACCCAGAGTCCTGCTTGGAGAGCCCTGCCTGCAGCTGACCCTTCCCATGTCTTGGCAGTGCCAGGCGGTCATCGAGAGTTCCTACCAGGTGGCCAAGGCGCTGGCAGACGATGTGGAGCTGTACTGCTTCCAGTTCCTGCCCTTTGGCAAAGGCCTCATCAAGAAGTGCCGGACCAGCCCCGATGCCTTTGTGCAGATCGCACTGCAGCTGGCGCACTTCCGGGTAGGGGCCCCACCTCCCGCTGCTGAGAGGGCAGGGTGGTGCCAGGGTCCGCCTGCCAGATTCACCCCTCTGTATATCCCAGGACAGGGGTAAGTTCTGCCTGACCTATGAGGCCTCAATGACCAGAATGTTCCGGGAGGGACGGACTGAGACCGTGCGTTCCTGTACCAGCGAGTCCACAGCCTTTGTGCAGGCTATGGTGGAGAGGTCCCACGCGGTGAGTGTCCTCTACCCCGCATGGGGGCCACGGTCGTCTGCCTCCTGTCTACCTGGAGGGTCAGGGCTACTCTTCACCCCTTTACTTCTGCCCCACAGAAAGCAGACCTGCGAGATCTCTTCCAGAAAGCTGCTAAGAAGCACCAGAATATGTACCGCCTGGCCATGACCGGGGCAGGGATCGACAGGCACCTCTTCTGCCTTTACTTGGTCTCCAAGTACCTGGGAGTCAGCTCTCCTTTCCTCGCTGAGGTCAGCACCGTTGTTGGGTGTGTCCTTTGTCCCACTGCCCTCCTACACCCAGGGCTTGGGCCATCTCATGAGGGAGCACGGCCTGTGTTCTGTCTGGCTGGCTCCCCTGAAGCTCCCTAGAGGGCTGGGCCAGCTTTCCCGCCCACACCCCAGCTGGGCCTGCGGTCCTGGGCCCAGTGGGAGCAACATCCTCTTCGTGGTGTTGGTGTTCTTGTGACAGGGAACAGACAAACGTATGATCTGTCAGGCGGTGACAGCACTACTGAGACTAGTGAGGCTGTGGCGGGGAGAGGCAGAGCAGAGTGGGGGCTGGGCAGCTCACACAAGCCTTATGTGGCATGTGCAAAGGGGACCACGGGGTGGTGGCCAGGGAGCTCCTGCACCCTCAGCAGAACAGTGCCTGGCTCAGAGTAGGTCGCAGACACCACCCGTCGGACAGGTGCTTTGGGTGTGTGGCGTCTGACCAGCTGCGGCCTCCATTGCAGGTGCTCTCGGAACCCTGGCGTCTCTCCACCAGCCAGATCCCCCAATCCCAGATCCGCATGTTTGACCCAGAGCAGCACCCCAATCACCTGGGTGCTGGAGGTGGCTTTGGCCCTGTGAGTGCCCCTGAAGGGGATGGGTGGGCAGCACCAGGGCCCTGAGGGGTTCAGTGGCGAGTGCAGGCCCTGAGGTCAGACCAGAGGCAGGAGCACCTTGCTTAGAGGAGAGCATAACCCCAGACCTGCACGGAAGCAGAATGTTAGCTGTGGACTCAGGCAGCCAGGTACCTGGGACCCGCCCATCCCAAATACCTCCCTGCTGGAGCGTGACCGTGCCTGGGGCTGGTTTCCAGGGTACTGGGCAGTGCACTGGGTGCTTCTGAAGTCTGCTTATCCAAGAGAGTGCAGCTGCCTCCCACAGAAACCTCCTCGTGGGCTAGTTTGTCAGAAGGCTAGAGAACCCTCTGGAGAGAGACAGCGTGATCTAGAGTACAGGCCCCCTGAGGGAAACTGGGAGGTCCTAGATCCCTTGGTGGGTTCTGGGCAGCATTCTTTGGTTTTCACGGTTTCCTGGGGGTGGTCCTCAGGAAAAATGCAGTGTCGGGCTGGGGCCCGTTCCTGCAACTCCTGTGGGAAGAACAAGTTCCACATCAGCTTGGTTTTCGGATCTTCAGGGTTTGAGTTCTGCCCTTCTCCTTCACCCTTCGTGTTGCCCTCAGGTAGCAGATGATGGCTATGGAGTTTCCTACATGATCGCGGGCGAGAACACGATCTTCTTCCACATCTCCAGCAAGTTCTCAAGCTCAGAGACGGTGAGTCTCCGGCCCCAGCTCAGGCCTGAGGAAGGGTGCCACCTGGGGCTGCCCGGGAACACAGGTGTCTTTGGCCGGGGAGGCGTCCTTGCTTGTGGGGACAGCGGGGTGGGTGCATATATGACGGTGCATCTGAGCTCTTGGCTCCCACAGAATGCCCAGCGCTTTGGAAACCACATCCGCCAAGCCCTGCTGGACCTCGCTGATCTTTTCCAAGTGCCCAAGACCGACAGCTGAAGGTTGGAGAAATACCAGCCGCCCTTTCATCCCCACACTGTGGAGGAAGGGACCTGTGGCGGCTCACAGGCATGAGGGGTGGCCGTGCACAGGTGCCCAGGCTCCAAGGACAGCTCTGGCAGCAGGTCCTCACTGGGCAGACGCTGCTCCCTGAGGGCCCGGTTGGTGGAGGTGGGGTTGGAGCAGGAAGGGAATTTTGATTTTTTTTTTTTCTTGATAGATACTAATAAAAATAAGGCTGCGTAATTTTCTCTCAGCCCTTAGGTACCTGTGTTTTGTTTGGGAACTAGGAGGCCCTCCCCCTCCCCCAGCTCAGACCAGAGGTGGCAAGAGAAGGGCTGAAGCTGGAAGACTGTTCATGAGGGACTTGTGTGACCTGCTTTGAAATGTGTGACTCTGCTGAGTGACGCAGGCTCTGAGATAGCTGTCCATGCCCACGTGTTTGCTTGGAATAAATTCTTGCTTCAGAACCTTCACCTGTTCCCTGGGGCCATTTCTGTTTGTCTGTCTGGTGGAGAATGAGCCCACCTCCTCCCATGCAGGGGCATGTGTGAGGCACCCCTCGTGGCTGAGGCACAACGCTGTAGGGCCCCGCAGCTGCTTCTCACCATGGAAGGGGGCTGCAGGCCCAGGCCTGAAGTCTTGGGGTGTCTGTGAGAGGGCACACAGGATGATCTGTAGCAGCAGCTGCTCCTTCGTCGAGATTGGCTTGGCTACTAAAATCATGTTAAGAGTAAATGAGTGGTGAGTGGTGAATGTGAAGGCCTAGGACATTATATTACTGTAGACTTTGTAAACATTGTATACTTTGGCTACAGTACTTTATAAATTTTTTTCTTTAATAAACCTTAGTTTACTGTAACTTTTTTACTTTATAAACTTTTTAATTTGCTTAGCTTTTCGATAATAACAGCTTAAAACAAACACATATAGCTGTAAAAAAATATGTTTATATCCTTATTCTATAGTTTTTTTCTATTTTTTTTTTTTTTTTTTGAGACGGAGTCTTGCTCTGTCGCCCGGGCTGGAGTGCAGTGGCCGGATCTCGGCTCACTGCAAGCTGCGCCCCCCGGGTTCATGCCATTCTCCTGCCTCAGCCTCCCGAGTAGCTGGGACTACAGGTGCCCGCCAACTCACCCAGCTAGTTTTTTGTATTTTTTAGTAGAGACGGGGTTTCACCGTGTTAGCCAGGATGGTCTCGATCTCCTGACCTTGTGATCCACCCGTCTCGGCCTCCCAAAGTGCTGGGATTACAGGCTTGAGCCACCGCACCCGGCCTAGTTTTTTTCTATTTTTAAGTTATTTTTATTTTTACTTTTTGAACTTTTTGATAAAAAACAAGATGCAAACACACACATTAGCCCAGGTCTCCACAGGATCAGGATCATCAATATCCACATCTTGTCTCACTGGTTGGTCTTCAGGGGTAGTAACTCACATGGAGCTGTCATCTATGATAACAGTGCCTTCCAGAATACCCACTGAAGGAACAGATTCTAAAATAATGATAAAAAGTATAGTATAGTGAATACATAAACCAGCGACAGAGTCATTTATTATCAAGTATTATGTGCTATACATAATTGTGTGTGCTGTGCTTTTACACAACAGTGCAGTACGTTTGTTACACCAGCATCACCACAAACAGGTGAGTAATGAATGCATTGTGCTACCATGTTTCCATGGCCACCACCTCACTGGCAATATGAACTTTTTTTTTTTTTTTTTTTGAGACGGAGTCTCGCTCTGTCACCCCAGATGGAGTGCAGTGGCACGATCTCGGCTCACTGCAAGCTCCACCTCCCGGGTTCATGCCATTCTTCTGCCTCAGCCTCCCGAGTAGCTGGACTACAGGCACCCGCCACCACGCCCGGCTAATTTTTTGTATTTTTGGTACAGACAGGGTTTTGCCATGTTAGCCAGGATGGTCTCGATCTCCTGACCTCGTGATCCACCTGCCTCGGCCCCCCAAAGTGCTGGGATTACAGGCGTGAGCCACCACGCCCGGCCAATATGAACTTTTTAGCTCCATTATAATCGTATGGGACCACTGTGGTATATGTGGCCCACTGCTGACCAGAAGAACAGGACTGTGCTTACTGAGTGCCTACAGTGCGCACTGCGATTCAGCAGCGAACAAAACTGGCAAACTTCTTTTGTGGCTTGGAGTCTGGTAAAGGAGACAGACAATTACCAAGAAGAATGTGTAAATTACGTAGTAAGTTAGATGGTGATAAGTGCTAAGGAACAGCCAGTGTAATACGGCTGGGGTCAGGACGGGAGATTCAATAAGATAATGAAGATGGGATGGAGGTCGATACCACACCAACAGTTGCTGGACAGCGTGAGGGAGCAGATGTTGATCACTGAACATGATTTTTTTTTTTTTTTTTTTTTTTTTTTTTTGAGACGGAGTCTCGCTCTGTCGCCCAGGCTGGAGTGCAGTGGCGCAATTTCGGCTCACTGCAAGCTCCGCCTCCCGGGTTCACGCCATTCTCCTGCCTCAGCCTCCCGAGTAGCTGGGACTACAGGCGCCCGCCACTGCGCCCAGCTAATTTTTTCTATTTTTAGTAGAGATGGGGTTTCACCATGGTCTCGATCTCCTGACCTTGTGATCCGCCCGCCTCGGCCTCCCAAAGTGCTGGGATTACAGGCGTGAGCCACTGCGCCCGGCCACTGAACATGATTTATGCTGGTTTAAGATTCTGCTCCTGGCCGGGCGAGGTGGCTCACACCTGTAATCTCAGCACTTCGGGAGGCCGAGGCGGGCAAATCACCTGAGGTCAGGAGTTCGAGACCAGCCTGACCAACGTGGAGAAACCCCGTCTCTACTACAAAACACAAAAATTAGCCGGGCGTGGTGGTGCACGCCTGTAATCCCAGCTACTTGGGAGGCTGAGGCAAGAGAATCACTTGAACCCAGGAGGCGGAGGTTGCGGTGAGCCGAGGCCGCGCCACTGCACTCCCGCCTGGGCCATAAGAGAGAAACTCCGTCTCAAAAAAAAAGATTCTGCTCCTAACCGTAGGAGAGAACTCGGTGCCTCTTCCACTCTGGGGCAAAGTTAATGAAAGTCTTTTTCCTTTTCTAAAACCCAGCCTGAACCAGTTATTTCTTGAGACAGACCACACTGAGACAAGTCACCAGCAGAAGATAGATACTATGACCGTTATTAACAAAGGTGAATTAACTTAACCAAGAGGGTATTTGTAGTTTATTATTTACCCCAAAACTTTCTGCATCTAGGTACCCCGAGTAGGCCTGTAATTCCTGCCTTCACTGTGTGCGTCTTCTGTAAGCCAGTCGCCGACCTATGTGGTGAAAAGGCACAGGAGCTGGGAAGTGTTTCCCTGCTGCTCTGTTACAACCTCTTAGCTTATATCCTTTAATTTCCAAACTTTTAGATTCATTTCTGTAACAGAACCAGTGAATCTGGGATGAAATCCTCACAGTACTCCAAATAGTAATTGTTTTGCTTTTGTAATAGCTTAATGAATAAACCTAGGTTTTCTATATTTAAAAAAAAAAAAAAAGAAATGCTAAGGGGAAAATAAGTGGAGAGACAAAAGGAGGGGTGGGTGGCCATTTCAGGCAGTGGCAAAAGCAAGCCTTCCTGATTGGAGTCCTTTGACCACAGGCCTGAAGGAGATGAGGAGCAAGTCATGTCCCTCATGTCCCTCACGCTCCATACCTAAGGGCAGAGTATTCCTGGCTGAAGGGAGAGCAAGAGCCAAAGCTTTGAGGGCGGTGTTTGCTGTGATGAAGGATGTGGCTAGTGTGGAGTCAGGGATGGGAAGAGCAAGAGGGGCAGCCAGATCAGGGTGACAAGGGCCTCATAGGCCAGATTCTGGATTTTCTGAATGACAGGGGAAGCTGTTGGGCTTTGAGCAGAGGGTGACATAATCTGTCCTAATTTTAAGGGATCACTGGCTAACCACGGTGGTGTTAGAACAAAGTAGGATGCAGTGATGGTGGAAGCAAGGAGACCTGTTAGAGTAGTGCTCCTGGTGGTGGTGGAGCTGGAAGAAATGAGTGGCTTAAACTAAGGCAGCGCCGTAGGAAAGTAGAATTAAGGAGCTTGGAATGTCAAACATAGAACTGACAAGTCTAATCAAAGATAACTCATATTTTCTATTTTGGGTGATTGGGTGATTAAATTAGATCTTTAAATGTTGAATTGGACCTGCCTATAACAAATAGCTGTGAAAATGTCTCAGACTCTTGAAAATATAAATTAAAAGCTAAGGAGAGATCTGGGCTCCTTCTAACAGTTTTGAAGACAGTTAAAACCTTGAAAGCACATGAGAGGATTCCCAGGGCAGAGACTCCTCACCTCCTTCAAGTCTTCATGAGCTTATAAGAGTACGCCTCTTGGGGCCAGGCGTGGTGGCTCACACCTGTAATCTCAGCACTTTGGGAGGCCAAGGCGGGCAGATCATGAGGTCAGGAGATCGAGACCATCCTGGCTAACACAGTAAAACCTTGCCTCTACTAAAAATACAAAAATTAGGCCGGGCGCGGTGGCTCACGCCTGTAATCCCAGCACTTTGGGAGGCCGAGGCAGGTGGATCACAAGGTCAGGAGATTGAGACCATCCTGGCTAACACGTTGAAACCCCGTCTCTACTAAAAATACAAAAAAATTAGCCGGGTGCGGTGGCGGGCGCCTGTAGTCCCAGCTACTCAGGAGGCTGAGGCAGGAGAATGGCATGATCCCGGGAGGCGGAGCTTGCAGTGAGCCGAGATCGCGCCACTGCACTACAGCCAGGGGGACAGAGCGAGACTCCGTCTCAAAAAAAAAAAAAAAAAAAATTAGCCGAGCGTGGTGGCACATGACTGGAGTCCCAGCTACTCGGGAGGCTGAGGCAGGACAATCGCTTGAACCCGGGAGACAGAGGTTGCAGTGAGCTGAGATGGCACCACTGTACTCCAGCCTGGCAGAGCGAGACTCCATCTCAAAAAAAAAAAAAAAAAAAAAAAAATACACCTCTGCCCTAAAAATGTTACATTCCATATCAGAGCGTTCTTCAGCTTCCAAAAGTATTTCCAGAGACCTCTACCTGTTCGGGTGCCAGTAAGCCTCCCCTGAGAAAGTGCCTGCATTTTGGTAGGCTTCTGGGGATATCAGCTCACCCCCTCCTGAGATAGCAGTGAACAGAGTTTCCAACAAGCTAGCTTTTAATTAACATCAAAATTCTGCATTAAAGTTCTTTTATCTGATTTGTTCTGGCTTAAAATAGTGAGATGAGGAACAACAGTGGTAAACCAGGGTATAAACCTCTGGTGTGGCCGGGCGCGGTGGCTCAAGCTTGTAATCCCAGCACTTTGGGAGGCCGAGACGGGCAGATCACGAGGTCAGGAGATCGAGACCATCCTGGCTAACACGGTGAAACCCTGTCTCTACTAAAAAATACAAAAAATTAGCCGGGTGTGTTGGCGGGCGCCTGTAGTCCCAGCTACTCGGGAGGCTGAGGCAGGA